GACAGAGAAACACATTGATGTGAGAGAGATACATTGATTTGCTGCTTCCAGCACCCTCCCCAAGTGGGGATCGAACAGGCAACCTGGGTATGTGTCCTGACAGGGAATTGAACCTATCACCTTCTGGTGTACAGGACAACACTCCAACCAACTGAGCCACACTGGCCAGGGCAGGATTTCCTTTTTTCTTTTTTTTAAAAAAATATATCTTTATTGATTTCAGAGAGAAGAAGGGAAAGGGAGAGAGAGAGAGAGAAACACCAATGATGAGAGAGTCGTCATTGATCGGCTGCCTCCTACCCCCCCCTCCCCACTGGGAATCGAGCCCACAACCCAGGCATGTGCCCTGACCAGGAATTGAACTGCAATCTCCTGGATCCTAGGTCGATGCTCAACTGAGGAGCCACGCCCAGCTGGGCTGGGAATACATTTTTAAACTAATCTATTTTGTATTCTTTACTGGTAGCAGTTTTTGGTATGAAAACTACTCATTCTTAGGCTNACGAGCCACTCCCTTCCAGGCTCCTTTCTTTTTAAGGCTGAATATTATTTCATTGTACTTATATACCACATTTTGTTCTTCCATTCATCTGTTTATGGACATTAGGTTGTTTCTACCTGTGGGCTATTATGAATAATGCTTCTATGAACACAGATTTAAAGAATGATTTTTAAAAATGAAAAATCATGTAATGCTTGTGCTAAAAATCCTTCAGAGGCTTCCATTCACACTTAGTATAAGATCTGAACTCTCTTCCACTGCTTACAAAGATCTATAAATACTTGCATCACAGCATCTCTCCTTACTTCATTCATTTTTCTACATCACTTTCTGACATTTTATTATATAAATATATAAATAAATAAATATTTATATTCTGCCTCTCCCACAAGGATATTACCTCCATAAAAACAAGGATTTTTCTATTGTGTTTTTATTCTTTCTCCAGTGCTTAGAACAGTACCTGGCTAGCTTGAGAAATATTTGTTCAGTGAATACATGACAGAAGCATGATAAATAATTACTGGCTTAATGAATGAGCTGAAGTGAGGTTGTTTTTTTAAAAAAATATATTTTTACTGATTTCAGAGAGAGGAAGAGAGAGGAAGATAAGAGACAGAAATATCAATGCTCAGAGCCATTGTTCGGCTGCCTCCTGCATGCCCCCTGCTGGGGGTCGAGCTGGCAACACAGGCATGTGCCCTAACAGAATCAAACCTCAATCTCCTGGATCATAGGTTGATGCTCAACCGCTGAGCCATGCTGGCAGACCTGAAGTGAGCTTTAAAAGCATTATTGAAATGCTTTTCAATGACCTGAGTTTAAATCTGAAGAAGAATTTTTCAACTAGAAGGAAGGTAAAGAGAGATATGGAAGATATTGGCAACTTATGAGGATTCTGCACAGAGCTTAAAATCATTCTGGTCAAATAGTAATAATTCTTAATATTAATGAGAATCATTATAGTGATACTAGCATATAGTGACTGTTTATTATGTGACAGATACATAATTATTTCATCACAACCACCCTATGCAAAACCTGTGAATATGGAGGGCTAAGCTGTATTTTAAAGATGAAGGAACTGATGGCCCAAGAGCTTAAATAACTTATTCAAGGTCTCACAGTGAGTGGCAAAGCCAGGATTTTAATCCAGGTCCTGGGAAAATTGGACAGGGACATGTAAAAACAAAAACAAAAAACTAGACCACCAACTTACACTATACACAAGAATAAAATCAAAATGGATAAAAGACTTAGATGTAAGTTGCAAAACCTAAAAATCCTAGAAGAAGACACAGTAAAATCTCAGACACCTCTCGTAGCAAAATTTTTCCAATATATCTCTTAGGGCAAGAGAAACAAAAGAAAAAATAAACAAATGGGACTACATCAAACTAAAAAGTGTCTGCACAGCAAAAGAAATTATCATAAAATGAAAAGGGAACTCACCGTGTGGGAGAACATATTTGCCAATGATATATCTGATATGGGGTTAATTTCCAAAATATATAAAGAACTCATACAACTCAACACCAGGAAGACAAACAATCCAATCAGAAAATGGGCAAAGGACCTAATAAACACTTCTCCAAAGGGAACATACAGATGGCTAATAGAAATATGAAAAATGCTCAAGGTCACCAATCATCAGAAAGATGCAAATTAAAACCTCAATGAGAGCCCTAGCCAGTTTTGTTCAGTGGTTTGAGCATCAGCCTGCAGATTGAAGGGTTCCATGTTCGATTCTGGCCAGGGGTCCGTACGTACCTCAGTTGCAGGCTCAATCCCCAGCCCCAGTTGGGGTGCGAGTAGGAAGCAACCAGTGAGTGTATCTCTCTCACATTGATGTTTCTCACTCTCTCTCTCTCCCCCTTCCACTCTCTCTGAAAAGCAATGGAAAAAATATCCTCAGGTGAGGATTTTAAAAAAACACCACCCTGCAATGAGATATCACCTCCCACCTGCCAGAATGGCTACCATCAATAAATCAACAAACAAGTGCTGGAGAGGATGTGGAGAAAAGAGAACCCCTGTTGGTGGGAATGCAGACTGGTGCAGCCATTGTGGAAAACAGTATGGAGTTTCCTCAAAAAATTAAAAATGGAACTGCCTTTTGATCCAGTGATCCTACTACTGGGAATATAGCCTAAGAATCCCAAAACACCAATCAGAAGGAATATATGCCCTATGTTCATAGCAGCACAGTTTACAATAGCCGAGATCTGGAAACAGCCCAAGTGCCCATTGGTAGATGAGTGGATAAAAAAGCTGTGGGGCATTTAAGTAATGGAATACTATGCAGCTGTAAAAAGGAAGGAACTCTTATCTTTTACGACAGCATGGATGGACATGGAGATTATTATGCTGAGAAAATAAACCAGTCAGAGAAAGACAAATACCATATGATCTCACTTATATGTGGAATCTAATGAACAAAAATAAACTGATAAAGAAAATAGAACCAGAGACATGGTTACATGGTACAGACTGACAGATGTCAGAGGGGAGGTGGGTGGGGCAGATGGGATGAAAGAAGGAGAAGAAGCTAGCCAAAGAGCATATATGCATAGCCCATGGACACAGAAAACAATGTGGTGAGTGCCAGAGGGAGGGGTCTGGGTGGAGGGAGGCAAAGGGGAGGGGGGGAAATGAGGGACATCTGTAATAATTACAACAATAAAAATTAAATGTAATTTTAAAAAATAAAAAAAATCAATAATTTCTTTCAAACTCAATAATCTTTCAAGAAAGAAATAATGCAGGTATAAATTTCCCTAGAGCTAAAAAACTAGAAAATGTCCTAATTCATCTCAAATAGCACAAACTTGATAAAAATATATCAAAATGTACTGTGGTTTTACAAAATACTATCATTGGGGGAAGCTAGATAAAGGGTACGTGGGAATTCTACTATTTTTGCAACTTTTGAGTTCAAAAATATTTCAAAATAAAAAGTATTTAATAAATCTATTAAGGTCTTTAGTTCAAGATGGCAAACTCAGTATAAAATTTATCTTCTTTATATATATTTTTTATCCCACAAATTTGGGATGTAACATTTTCATTATGGCTTAGTTCAAAGTATTTAATTTCCATCATGGTTTAATCTTTGACCTAGAGTTATTTGGAAGGCTTTTTGTATGTTTGTTTTAAAATTTCCAGGTGTATATTTGTATTTATATTTTACACTGTGGTCAGAGAATATGGTATGTACTATACAATTCTTTGAAATTAGAATTATATCAGTTGAGACCTATTTTTATAAAATGTTCTTAAATATGCTTAAGAAGAAAGTATTTTTTAACTTCTGGGTTCATGGTTCATTAATCAAGCTTGTTAATTGTGTTGTTAAAAACAAACAAACAAAAAGAGGCCATTGAAGCAATCCAGTAGAGAGATGATGGTAGGTCGGGAGCAAGGAAGCTGAGAAGCCCAGGGATTCCACAGTGCAGTGGTGTTGGAGCAGGGCTGAGGAGAAGTGAGGAGAGAGCCTTCAAGAATGACCTCCTTGCCCCGCCCAGCGTGGCTCAGCGGTTGAGCATTGACCCAGGATCCAGGAGATCTCGGTTCAATTCCCAGTCAGGGCACATGCCCAGGTAGGAGGCGGCAGATCAATGGCTCTCTCATCATTGATGTTTCTCTCTCCCTCTCCCTCTTCCTTCCTCTCTCTGAAATCAATAAAGATATATTAAAAAAATAAAAAAAAGAATGACCTCCTTCATTTCTGGTTTATGCATTTTTATAGCTGAGAGTCAGAATCTCCATTTGCCCTTTTTAATAGGCAAGGGTGTGTGTCTACATATGTAAGCATTTGAGGATCTTTCCTGAGCCACCTTCCTGGTTTCGCCTGGAGGAGGGCCCTTCTCTTAGCCTGCGGTGGTTTCTAGTTTCTGCAGTTTGACGGATGGCGGAGCTACGCAATTGAGGTAGGCATCCTAGGGGAGATTAAGAAATGTCTGTATTTCCGGCAAGAATGTTTCTTTACTTCTAACGGAGACCAGGGGGGAGGTGGCAATCTTGAGGCGTGGGGCTGAGATTTAGCAGTTTCCCCCTCGTCCCTCAGCGCTCTGTGTATATCTGTGTTACAACACTTACCACGTATACTGTAGTCACATTATAAGAGTGTTGCACCCACTGGACGAGAAGGTCGGAGGTTAGGCGCTCAATTTCCTCCGGGTTGGTTTAGGGCTTCGCCCAGAAACTGGCTCCGCCCTCTCCTAACCGGTTTCTCCCGGCCCCACACCTAGGGATTTCCGGCTCGCCGGTGCCTCCGCACCCTCATCTCCATAAAAGGGCCCGGCTCCGCCCCTACTGCAACCGTAGCCGGCTAGCCTAGCAGGGACTAGAGTGATTGACGAGGATGTCTCCCAATCATGATGCCGAATGACCACATACTTACCAATTAGGTGGTAGCAGAGGCCGGTGCCAAAACCGGTGGTGGGGGGAGGGAACCAGGAAGTGAGCAGAGATTGAGAAGGACCAGTGGAGCCCAGGAGGTGGTGTAAAGGTGATCGGGCATCAGGATTCCCCAGTTTTCTCCCTTTCCCGTTCCTGAGTCACGGGTCCCTTCGCAGCGGGAAGTCAGGGTCTCCAACTGACCTTTTTAATGGGCAAGGGTGTGGATCTACATATGTAAGCATTTGAGGATCTTTTCTGAGCCCCCTTCCTGGTTTCGCCTTCATCTTCCTGGTTTGACCTCGAGGAGGGTTCCTCTCTTCGCCTGGGATGGGGGTGCTGTCCCCTGTCCTCCTCCTCGGGGGGTGGTAAAGTTGTTTAAAATCCTTCCTTAATCTGTGGGTGGTTAAAGTCACGGACTCAGTCACGGAAAGAGAGATGAGTGATGGGGAAAGCGAGATTCTCTGACTCTGCCCCTCTTGCGAAGTTAGAAACCTCCAGCTGAGGCCAGAGGTAGTGGAAGGTGGAGCGGCCCAGGGAGCTAGGTTCCTGTAGTTAGGGAACTAGAAATAAAATAGGTGTTGAGGGCGAAGGAAAGGTGGAAGGTCATGGTAGTTCTCAGAGCCTACGGTAGAGCTGGAGGCGTTGAGGTGGGGCTCGGTTTCTAAATCCCCTCACCACCTCTGGGCCGTCAACTTTTTGCCTTCATTTCTTTTTCCTCAGGCTGGAGGAAACACCTGACGATGTGGAATCCCAATGCTGGTAGGTGTTTGGGGGGTTGCTCTCTTCTCACACCCCAAACCCTTTTCAAATGGGCCCCACGACAGGAAGTTTCTGTGTTTTTCGTCCACTTCTCCCCTCACCAGCAAAAGCCAAGTCCTTAGACTATAGCTGACCCATGCCCTTGTCTTTCCTTAGAGCTCACCGTCTCCCTCTCTTCCCAGCCTAAGAGGGATGTGACCTTTTCTCTCTTATGCGGGTTTGTTTCCCCTACCTTCCATTCTTCCTCACTTTTCCATTTCCCTTTAAGTATTGAGTAAGAAACCGTATCTCCTTTTTGTTCTTTGCTGTTAGAGGCTCTGGGCAATCCTAATCTTAATTTATTCTTTTCTTCTTCCACCAGGGCAGCCAGGGCCAAATACGTATCCCCCTAATGTTGGGTACCCTGGAGGTTCCAATCCTGCCCATCCACCGCCTGTCAATCCTGCCTATCCACCGCCTATCAATCCTGCCTTTCCTCCAGGCTCCTTTCCCACTCCCCCAGGAGCGCCCCAGGGGAATCCAGCTTTCCCCCCAGTTGGGCCCCCTCATCCTATGCCACAACCAGCTTATCCAGGATACCAACCATCAGGTCCCTACCCCCCTCCATACCCACCACCTGCTCCTGGCATGCCTCCTGTGAATCCCTTGGCTCCCGGCATGGTAGGACCAGGAATGGTGATGGACAAGAAGATGCGGAAGAAAATGAAAAAAGCTCATAAAAAGATGCACAAACACCACAAGCATGGCAAGGTCAGTGCTCTCTTGAGCTTGGTTAGGAAGAGGTGCCCCTTCAGAGAGACTAGGCAAGAAGGGGGTGCCAAGGGGGATTCACAGTCTGAGGACATGGGGCAGTGATTGTGTTGCTCTGGTAGATGGTTCTTCTTTTTTTGTTAATCCTCACCTGAGGATATTTTTCCCATTGATTTTTAGAGAGAGTAGGAGGGAGTGAGGAGGAGGAGAGAGAGCGAAACATTGATGTGAGAGATACACATTGATTGGTTGCCTCCTGCACGAGCCCCAACCGGGGCTGGGATTGAACCTGCAACCAAGGTACGTGCCCTTGACCGAGACCCATCGATGCTCGGCTGGACACTAACTACTGAACCACACCAGCTAGAGTGATGGTTCTTCCTTTTTATAAAGGATTCCCACTGGGAAGAATCTGATAATCTTGAAATATTAGGCAAATTGGGCTTTCTGTCTGTGAGGGGCTGGGTAAGCCTTAGAGTGGATATCAGAATCAGAAGCACTTTTTGTGCCCTGGCTGATTTGATTCAGTGGTTAGAGTGTCGGCCTGCAGACCAAAGGGTCCTGGGTTTGATTACTGGTCAAGGGCATGTACCTCAGTTGCAGGTTCAATTCTGCACTGGTCAGGGCACGTGTGAGAGGCAACCAATTGATTTGTCTCTCTCAAGTCAATGCTTCTCTTTCTCCTCCCTCCTCTCTCCCTTCTACTCTCTCTCTAAAAATCAATCGAAAAAAATATCCTTGGAGAGGATTAAAAAAACAAAAATACTTCCTGTCTGTTTTTCTCAGAATTTTTGCCCCCCTCCCTCTCTCTCAGGTGCATGTTTTAACAAATTGGACATTCTGAGGTAGTCAAAATGTCCATTAATAGGGTCAGTTATTTTTTTTAACCCTCACCCAAGGACATGCTATTGATTTGAGAGAGAGAGAGAGGTGAGAGTGGTGAGAGAGACTATGGATTGGTTGCCTTCATTATGTGCCCCGACTGGGAATCAAACATGCAACTTTGCTCTAGCTGATTTGGCTCAGTGGTTAGAGTGTCAGTTGGCCTGGGGACTGAAGGGTCCCATACCTTGATTGCAGGCTCGATCCTAGAGCCCAGTCGGAGTGAGTGTGGGAGGCAACCAATTGATGTGTCTCTCTCACATCGATATTTCTCTCTCTCATGTCGTTTCTTTCTCTCTCTCTCTCTCTCTCTTCCACTCTGTCTAAAAAGCAATGGGAAAAATATCCTCAGGTGAGGATTAAAAAAAAAAAAAGATGATTCTCCTTCTCTCTCCCTCTCCCTTCTTCTCTCTCTAAAAATCAATTTAAAAAACAACAAGAAGAAAAAAAACCCATCTGACCTTTTGTTATGTGGGATGATACTCCAACCAATTGAGTCACACCTGCCAAGGCAATAGGGCCAGTCTTTTGACAAAACAAAGTCTTATATGATAATTAACAAATAATAATCTGCCCTAATTCCTGGACTTTCTTTCTCTTCAGGGTGTCATGTTAATTATATAGGCTTTTTTGCCCTGCCATCCAGTAGGGAAATTGAGGACTAGTGATTCTCAGCCTTGAACAAAACCTAAGTTTCATGCTCAGCCCAAGGCTAAGTATCCTCATTCTAGAGGATTGAACCAACCTGGATCTTGAGGAGGCCTTAATTAACATTTTACTGCTTAGTATTTATTTCCTTATGGCTTTGGGTGCTAATTCCTAGTTCTGGATCTTTGGTAGAAGTCTGAGAAGGAAAGGTGAGATTGAATAGGGGAGAAATTACCCTGGAGAGACTAAAAAATGTTTTTATTTATTGATTGATTGATTTCGGAGAGAGGAAGGGAGAAGAGAGAGAGAGAAACATCAATGATGAAAGAGAATCCTTGATTGGCTGCCTCTTGCGTGCCCCCTACTGGGGATCGAGCCCAAAACCAAGGCATGTGCCCTGACCAGCAATTGAACCTTGACCTCCTGGTTCATAGGCCAATGCTCAACCACTGAGCCATACCAGTGGGCTTGTTTTGTTTTTAAATAATATTTTATTTATTGATCTTAGAGAGAGGAAGAGAGAGAGAGAGAGAGAAACATCGATTCTTTGTTCCACCCATCCATGCATTCCTTGGTTGCTTGCTTCTTATATGTGCCCTGACAGAATCGAACTGGAAACCTTAGTGTACCGGGATGACGCTCTAACCAACTGAGCTACCTGGCCAGGGCTGAAAAATGTTTTTAATGACAGTTGTTGATGGGAGTATGCATGTAAAGAACCTTGGCTAGGAGTCTCCCAAACTTCTCTCCCACCTTCTTCACTTTCTCCCAACTGGGGCTTAGGAAAAAGTAGAGATAGATGCATACACAGCTGCTGTTTCTATTTGCTTTCTTAGATTCATAGCCACTAGGAACTTTCCATGCAGCGGATCAATAAGCATTTATATGGAAGCAGCTATTTCCTAGCACTATATTATGCTTGTGCCCCTAATTTATTCCTTGCCTAGGCATTGACTCTGGTAAAGAAAGTTGGAAAACTTGCTCTAAATGCAGTATGTTAAATTCTGTGCAATGAATTAGGGTGATTTAATCCATTCCTGTATCCTCACTGCTGAAGGAAATCCTTGCTTTTGCTATTTAAGGGACAGTCTGGTTTAAGACTCCTGACCTTCTTAGGTACCTGGGGGGAGGGGGAGGGAACCAAAGAATGTCCCATGGAGTGATTAAATGTCATTTGGATCTGATGCTATCTCCTTTCCCCTTTCCCCTTGCAGCATTCCTCCTCCTCCTCCTCTTCCAGCAGTGACTCTGACTGAATACAGGGTCTGGACCCTTCCCTCAAGTTTCTCCAGTTCTGCTCTCCCATCAAGCTTCAGATGCCATCTTGTACTGGGGGAAATTAGCCTTTGCATCCCTCTCCCCTTCTCCCCCAATCTGAGCCTCACTCTGCTGTTCAGCCCTAACTGGTTAGGGGAAATGGGAAAAGAATTGCCATGGGCTAGCATAGGCCATCTTCTCAGTGCTTGGATAGAACTTTTAGCCGATGAGTTTTGCAGAACTATTTTTTGAAGATGGTGAAACTTTTGAGCTAAATGCTGAAGATAAGTCTAAGATCTAGAAAATGTGATTTTATACTTTCTTTTGTAATATTTGTAGTTGGGGAGGTGTTGTGGAAGCTTAATTATGAGAGGGGAAAAAAACAAAGAACAAACTATTTAAAAATATGTATATATATCTTTATTGATTTCAGGGTGAGGAAGGGAGAGGGAGAGAGAGATAGAGATAGAAACATCAATGATGACAGAGTCATTGATCGGCTGCCTCCTGCACACCCCTGACTGGGGATCGAGCCTGCAACCCAGGCATGTCCTCTAACCAGGAATCAAACCGCGATCTCCTGGATCCCAGGTCAATGCTCAATTGCTGAGCCATGCCCGGCCAGGCTTTTTTTTTTTTTTTTTTTACATTGTGGCACGCTTGGTGATTTAATGGCAAATACATTTCCCAGCATGCCTTTAATTGATTGTACTAACTGCAGGGCAGCTAGAAAGTGGAGTCCGTTTGTTGATGAGTTCTGACTGCCATTTTGGAACCTAATCTTTATTCCTTAGCTCAGTATGCGATCTCAGGTCCTCCCCTTATTCTCCAACTCTCAGTACAAATAAAGCTTTTTGTCCTGATCTCTGTTCACATGTGCCATTACCTTGGTTGGGCCCAGCACATTTTACTACTTTTGCTGCCCTTCCACAGACTTTTTAAAGTGTATCAGTTTTACAGTAAGTAACCAGAGTATCAGTGAGCAAGACACATACTGTCTCTGTCTCTTAAGTGGGAGGAAGCTTCAGAATTCAGGCTTAGTAGAATGAATCTTTACTGTCTTTCCTTTAATGAATGGATATTAGCCTTTAGCATAAGTTTTTGTATCTGCTATAGAGGTTCTCAGCTGTGGCTGCTCATCAGCTGTAAGAGAGTAATTTAGGACTTTGCCCTAAATCTACTAAATAAGACTCTTTAAGGATGGGGTCCTACAAATCAGTATTTTTAAGAAACTGTGTGTGTGATTCTGATGCACAGCTAGAACTGAGGGCCACTGGTTCACTCTGTGCCATGCACAGGACTACACATCAGATTCTCAAAGATCTGTTGAGTAGAGGAAAAAGACATCTAAGAGAACTCATTAATAAAGACAGATGCTACAGAAATGCCAGAGGGATATAAACCTAGAAATAACTGGGGAGGGAAGGAGTCAAAGACGACTTCACAGTCAGAGAGATATGATGTGAGAGACTGGACAGGCCATTGCTGGCTTTGAAGATGGAATGGGGCCAACAGCAAAGGAATGCAGGCAGCAAAGGAATGCAAAACTGGAAAAGGCAAGGAAACAGATTCTCTTCTAGAGTATCCAGAAGGAACCAACCCTTTTAACACTTTGATTTTAGTCCCATAACACTCATTTCAGACTTCTCACTTCCAGAATTATAAGAGAATAAATTTTTGGTGGTGTAAGCCACAAAATGTGTGGTAATATATTACATCAGCAATAGGAAACTAATATACTTACTACAAAATAAAAAATGACTGTTATTAAAAAAAAATCACAGGAAAAGTAACATTTCAACTTTTCAACTACCTCTTGAGCCTTGAGTGTGAAAAATATAAGTGGAGAAAAAAATAAAAGTGCATTTACCAAGTGGATGGCAGAGAGGAGCTAGGAAGGGAATGTGCTTAGGTACATAATTAGAAAGCTCCATATTATATTTGGGAATTACAGGTATCCCAGAATGATTTTCTGGAAAATTGTTTATTGAGGAAATACTGTATTCTGGGTGCTGAAGCTACAAAAGTGGGTAAGAGTCCCTGCCTTTTATAACCTGCAAGATCTAATGGAGCAGACAGATGTGAACATGTGAATAGGTAGGTTATAGTACAGTAAAAAGGACCACAATAGAGACATGGATCAATGAAGGAGCAAAGGAAGGAGTGACAGTGCCCCTGGCAAAATGAGCTCAGTCTGGGCTGGGCCTCAGGATGATAGTTTTTCAGTTGATAAGTCATCTCAGCTAACATCAAGCATTTATTATGTGCCAGGCACTGAGTCCTTTACATTTATAATGTGTAATCCTCACCGCAACTCTATAAGTTAAGTACTATTATTCCCATTTTATAGTTGAAGAAAACTTGTCAGGATTCAAAATCAGGCACAGTGGTTTGAGTCTGTGCTCTTAACCCAATGGATTTTAGGCAAAAGAAGTAGTTTTACAGAGGCACAGAGTTGTAAAAAGGTGTAGGATGAAAGTTCAGGAGTTCCTTAGCCTGAGTTCCCATTCTGGAGCCTGGATGCAGGAGGAAATGAGGCTGGAGTGGGGGAGATGGGGCTAAAGAAAGGAGTGGACTTAAGAGATGTTTCTGAGGTGTGGTCCACAGGGCTTAGGGATTGAGTGAGGGCTTGAAGAACTGGGAAGGAGTGTTTTTAGTTGGCTGCATTACATCAATGTCCTTGGGGCAGGTTATATGAAATAAATGCTTGAGGCCTTCCTATATTTTACTCCTCACCTGAGGATATTTTTTCCATTGATTTTCAGAGAGAGTAGAAAGGAGAGTGGGGAGGAAGAGAAGAGAAGAGATATCAATGTGAGAGAGACACAACAATTGATTGCCTCCCACACGCACCCCAGCCAGGGCTAGGGATCAAACCCGCAACCCAGGTACATGCCCTTGATCAGGACCTGTGACCCTTCAATGCGCAGGCCAACACTAACCACTGAGCCACGCTGGCCAGGGCAAGTTCTCTTATTTTAGAGCCAGCTTCTAATTTTATTGGGAAATCCTAGGCCAAGGCCTGCTTTTCCAGTGTCTTGAATTTGGGGACCATTCTAATGATTCTTTCCAGTCACTCTCTGTTTTCATTTATTTTTTTATCAGCTCTTCTTTTTTGAGGAGGAGAAGGGAGATATGGGCACAGGGGATTGTGAGGTGAAGAGAAACAGATGTTGACAAACCAACCAGAAATAAGGACAGTGAGAAAATACAAAGAAAAACGAAGAAATGAGTAAGAAAATCCACTGATTTTCTCCACTTCCTTTTTTAATCCTCACTCAAGGATATGTTTTTATTGATTTGAGAGAGAGAGGTAGAGAGATAAATACTGATGTGAGGGAGAAATATTGTGCCTCCCATACCCACCGTGACAGGGTTGAACCTGCAACCTTTTGGTGTATGGGACAGTGCTCCAACCAACTGAGCCACCCAGCCAGGGCTGATTTTCTCTACTTCTACTTGTGGGGAGCACATCTCCCCTTCCTGGCGTTTCTAGGCCATATACAGAGCCCCTTGCTGTTGTTTAGTTACTATTGTATCTCAAAAGTTTAACTTCTTAAAAGCTGAAAGTAATACATGTATTTGGGAGAAAATTGTAACATTTTTAATAGGATGTTTAGTAAAAAGTAAGGTTTTCTTCTCATCTCAGATTCTCAGCTTCCTCCCCAAAGGCAGCCAGGACTACAGATTCTTTTGTAAACTAGAGCTATTCTGCACCCCAACCCCACCCCTTTTATTTCTACTTCACATTGTTCCTATTGCCCTCCCTCCTATTTTTATTTTTAAAAATATATCTTTATTGATTTCAGAGAGAGGAAGGCAGAGGGAGAGAGAGTGATAGAAGCATCAATGATGAGAGAGTCATTGATCAGCTGCCTCCTGCACACACAACCCCCCCCCACTGGGGATCAAGCCCACATCTGGGCATGTGCCCTGACTGGGAATCGAACCACGGTCTCCTGGATTCTAGGTTGATGTTCAACTGCTGAGCCACGCCCAGCCAGGCCCCCTCCTATTTTATATCAAATGGGAGCACAGTACAGGGCCTCTTTTGAACCCAGCATTTTCTCATTTAATTATCTTAGAGTTGATTCCGTATCTCTGTCTGTGTGTGTAGATTTTATGTAGATAACATTGTTTTAACAGCATTCAATTTATTCAACCAATCTTATTGCTGGAATTTTAGATTGTTTCTAGTCTTACTATACACTTAACTGCTACAGTGAACATTTTAGTACATATATCTTTGCCAGAGATTGAAAATTGGATGCCTATGGCTATATCTGACTATGAGACTTTTTAAAAAAATCCTCACCCAAGGGTATTTTTTCCATTGCTTTTCAGAGACAATGGAAGGGAGAGAGAGAAACATCGATGTGAGAGGGACACATCAATTGGTTGCCTCCTGCACACACATCCCTGACCCCGACCAGGGCCAGGGATTGAGCCTGCAACCGAGGTACGTGCTCTTGGTCCAAATCAAACCCAGGACCCTTCAGTCGGTGAGCCGACACTCTAACCACTGAACCAAACCAACTACGGCAAGACTCTCTTTTTTCAGGGACTACTCTGTGTTAAATATCAGACATTTTCAATAAAGGTTCAGATTTCGAGCTGGAAACTCTAGCAACAGTGGGCCCACATTTCTAAAGGCAGAAATATGGCCCTGAGTAGTGGTCATTCCTTACAGATGGTTCCAGTCTTCTCACTGTCCTTTCAACTTCCTGTTGCCTTTCTTTCAGCCAGCTCCTCCCAGTTACCTTACTTGCCTGGCTCCTGAGCACAGTGGGTTTGTGCCCTCTGTTTTGTAAATCAGTTTAAGACCTTCAAGATGATGGTTCTCCTGTGTTTTTTATCCTACGTCTTTACCACCCTGTGTCCATGCCATTCTTTTCTTACTAGAAACCAAGTATAGCAAGATTTCCACACAATTGAGAATGGGAAAGGATAGGAAACCCATGAGATCTAAAATACAAATTGACATTTCAGCTTCGGGGACTGCGAGTCATGGGATGTCTTTAGTTTGCTGCCTTTGGAATCTCCCTCTATCAGGTTGCTTTGTGGCCCTGGGCAAATTCACTCACTTGACTAGCTTGATTCCCCTTTTGAGAAGAATTTAGTGATTCATGAAATTATCAGCTATTACTATTAGGTGCATCCCATCTTTCTGTTTCAAAGCTGGCTGCAGTTGTAAGCCAGCCCCCAATAGTAGCCATGTTACTGTTAGTAGAGGATAATGCCATTTTATCAACTCTTAATTTGATCTTTGTTTTGTCCCCCACATTAGAGATAGCCACTCACTTTCACCCTGGCTCTCAGAACTCCTCGAGTATAAATAACCCAACTGAAAATCTTGAGATTAATCTGACCTTCAGCCTAAGCCTCACAGTAAGCCTGTTTCTTATTTTGCTTTTTTTCTGGGTGTCCTAACATTGTCCTAC